TGAAACGAATGATTTTTATCCGTTTGAGCAGACGCAGCATTATAATTCCAAAAGAAAATTGTAATTCATCTTGTTTTATAAGATAATTAGTTATCTTATTATATTATTTTATGCTGCAGATCATAAGCTGTCCATTGTTCATGCACATACGCAAGCAGTCAAAACAGGCTAGCCATTTGAACATAACCAATACTTTTCCATTAAATAAGCTTTACACCTCTTCCCAAGCAAGTTATAAAGTTATTGGCTAATAACAATATTGACTACGTAGGAGCGCCATGTTTAAACTCAACCCACCCGGGGTGCGGTAACGTGCTGCACAACGGTCGATGCAAGGGGTAATAAATAACAGTACCGGAGGTACATCCGACACTTGGAAATAAGACGAGTAGTATGAACATACGTCCGCGTGTGAACATTGAAAGATAATTACGAATGGACGATCATTAATGCCATAATGTGATGTTAAACGTTAAAGCATGTATGTGTTGAAATGGACGACCGAAGGTCGAAGGAGGTAGTCAGGAAATACGAAATCCTGGTTGCCATGACAGCCACCGTCACTGCGTGGTGAAATGGTGATGTAATCTGTAAGGGAAGATATCGTGAGAGATGACACTGACATATGGTAGCAGTAGTACCTGCGCTATGTTTTAAAGGAATTAAATCTTCCTATAGGGTTCGAAGGCAAGTGATATATGGTGATGTGAACGATTACGGCACAGAAGATGTACGTATCAAATGAAAGATAGTATTTTACTTGAAACGCTTCGTGCGGGTTATGTAAAATGCAGTTGAATAAATGGGTAATATATAATGCCGTGTTTGGTGTGATATATATAGGTGTTTTAAAAGTTTCACACGGCTACAGCTAGGGAAGTGCTGATTGAAACGCCATATTTCACGCATTTGTTTACAGCATGGGTGAAAGTGAATGTAGTTTGCAACGGTACGAAGGTATATTTCACGGCTTATCAACAAATTCTTTCTTTCGTAATTTGTAATGTATGGGATAATTAATTTGGGAAGAATTGTATAGTGGATGGATACGCAATACATGAAAATACGGTAAGTTCTGTAATATATTGTTAAGGGAAATGGCAAGTCCTAGCGATATAATTCATCCATGCAATCGCTGAACGCTATTTCTATCTAGTAGATTTCGATGTAATTGGTTTTTTTAATATTATATATGTTTGCTATGGTATATTGAATACATGTATATATATATATATATGATGCTGATATACATCGATTGCTTTCATATATGTGGATAATATAGGTATGTTATTTAGTTTATCAGTCATATTTAGGTATCTTGTAAACACTTCTTATATTTTTCATTGCCTTGTAATATGTTATTTGGCATATTTTTCGGATGAAAATGTTTAATGAAACATAATTGCCATGTAATTATTAAAATCCTGATCCGGTAACGGTTTTAATGCCCCACAACTGGTATTAGTCCGTGTGCTTCGTTCGTCAGCGGGCTTAGTATATCACGTGAGAGAGTCGCTGCAGGAGGTAAACGGGTTAACTGTGGTGTGTTATTTCACTTGTCTGTAACGGTTTACTTCTCTCCATATTTGCTTGCGTAGGGTTTTATCTAGGTGAAATCATTCTCAGGCGAGGCTTGTGTTAAACTGTTTTACTTCATGTATAGACGGTTATAATACATTGAGCACTGGAATACTGTGGCTAATCCGGGTGCTGATGACGTTAATTTATGGTATGTTCTTAATGTTTCTGGAGTTTCCGAGGCATACAATATGCGCTGGACAGACTCTGGGACTTGTGTACTTTGTGGCTTAAGCCCATAAATCAGGCGGATATTTCTTTTTCTCGTATGGCAGCAAATTTTGCACGTTTCAAGTGCATACTGTGGTTGGTTAAACTCCCCCTTGTCTCCAACCACGTAGACCTACGCGTCGTGCATTCATCGTCTTTGCATTGTGGTGACAGCTGGAAGAAGGCCGCAAGTAGAGGTTCTCCGCTTTATCCGCACCCATCTGGATTGGTGCGTGCAGGCTTGCACGCCCTGTCTTGTTCGGGACAAAATGGAGCTCGAGAGGGTTTTGAGAGTAGGTACGCAATTGGTCGACGTGTTACGTGGGGCATTCGTACCCCGTGGGTCTACCTAGCTTGTGTGTGTATTCAGTGCACTGACGACGGGTTCGAGGAGACGTAATGGTAACTTGCAGCATTTTGATAGATAAGGTTGGACCGGACTTTACATGGCTATTTAGCCGGGCTAGGTTGCCTTGTCTTCCCGGTTATCCCTTCCCTTGATCTTCTCTTCTCCTGACCATAACCATCTTCAAACTGTTAGTTTTTATTCGGTCATTCTCTTCACTCTTCGCTGTTATCCTTCATTTTATTGACGTTCATTCCCCTTGATGTAACATTTACCCCATACGGCGTGACTACTTAACGTAGCTTACACTGCCGGGACTGCTAGTGCAGGGAAAGTTGGGGGTAACGGGTTGATCATGATGGTTCAGGAGTTTCCTTTAAGATCTACCAAGACCTACCACTTTCTCATATCCTACCTCAACGATGTGCATAAGAAGGAGCACTCACGGGAGACAGCTATCATTCCAGTGCAACTGATTCGAAATGTAAACACCCCTAGGCCTTCTTGGGCAAACGGTTAATGCGCACGTTTGGTGCCCTATAAGTGCGTGCACGGGAAAATAAGTGCGCATTACAGAAGGAAAATGAAATGAATGCTCCTGAAGAGGTAGCGAATAGGAGGTTGAGGTACGAAGATCTGAGTTACTCAGGGAAGTGGAGCAATATTGTGCTGCCAAGCGAAAGCTGCAAGTCACTCTAGGAACCCTTGAATGCCGGAATCCCTGTTAACACTGTGCAGAAGCATGTCCATGTTCGGTTAGTGCACCTTCAATGAGGGACCGTGTACAGTGGGAAATGATACCGGTCGTATGTACCTCAGGTACATAATCACCAAGCCTCGCAGTGAGGACGCACGGTGTTCATTTGCGGCTCGTCTGTTGTTGACGTCCTTCACAGCCTCCCTAACCTGTAGCCTATGGTCTACCGGAAGTTGCTGATGAACGCGGATGTGTCATCCAACGCCGCTAACAAACGTGATGCCACGTATTGCCGAAGGGGGAACGGAGTGCCTGAAATGCAGCTAATGTCGGACCGTAAAACAGGTGTTCACTTAAATCAACCATAGATAGAAGCGGCAGGCAAGGTAAAGGAAAGGATAAGGTGTTCAGTCCCATGCGAAATGGTCACGCACGTATGGGTGAGGTAATTCATACTCATCCCCACGCGGCGGATCACTAAGCAACTGGGAGGTGATGTGATAAGAGAAATGCAGTTTCAGCGCTAGGAATACTTGTACCATGTATGATACATCAAGCGTGCCTCTTACCTTGTCAACGAAGGTTACTCCGGTGCCTTGCAAAGCGCAATCGTTAATCCGGTTGCTTGGAAGATGGCGCTGTCATGAAGAAACTGATAAGTAAATGCGCATCCTAAAAAGGCAGCGGAATTGTGGGTGCTTCTGATGTCCGTAGGCACACCTGACCACCCCCAGTATGTGTGATCCCGTGACGTAAACGTCATGTAGGGGAGGCACCGCATATGGGAGCAGTGGGTGTACCTAACGATCAAGCGGAAGCAATGGATAGCACGGTTATGAATGAAAGAAAAAGGTAGCGCTATGAAAAAGAAGGACTTACATACACCGATGGCAAGTGAAGTGCTCCTGTCCAGCGTACGAGACGCATACCTGATGATACCAAAGGCGGCAATCGCAGCACATGACCCAGTCAACCACCTGTCCACTCTGTGCCTCGCAGTCACTTTGTAGGCACGAAGCGCACTTGTCATTGTCGTAGTTGGCTGGGATTGGTGCATGGCTGCGACGCTTCCTTGGAGGCCTATACACCTTAGACGTTTTCGTGTGCAAGTCGCGAAAACGAAGTGTCTTCCTTTCATGCTCCTGACTAGCTGACGACTCTGGAATTGGAACTAAACGTTGCTTACGCCTTGTGCCTTCACTGGTACCCTCACTCGTCCCTTCCGCACCTGAGTGCATCACGTTTGCGTTGGATGAAACCACAACCTCCTCCTGAGGGCTGCTAAGATTCCGTAGGAATTCCCGCAACTGATCCATAACCTCTCTGTACTTTGTGTCGCCGAGGCTGCACACTTGCACCTGAATATCACCCAAAACCTGACTGCATTCGCGAAGCTTCTGTTCCCTACTTACAGGTGCAACAGTGGAGCTAGACGCTAGGGGGACGACGTCGGAGGACGTGGATGCGGTAACACGCGGTTGTTGCGCGTGTGACACAACCCACCGGTTGTTACGCAATACCTCATGCACCGGTCTGCCTGCAGCGTGCAATGCATGCACAATGTGTGCACACGGCAGCAGCCATTGCCGGCTGAAGCTGCATTGGCAGGTTACCTCCTCACCCATTAACACGGTGTACGTTCTACGGGTCCCTTGCACTCGACATGTATCATGGGACAACTCCGTCACTGTCACCTTCTCTCTGGTGTGATGGCACCGCAGGCGCGTTCTTGCATACCCTGAAAACTGTAACGCTGCCTGCCCTAGGCTATGCAAGCAAGAGTCCATGGGATGCTCCGACAAATCGGTTTTACCCATTACATCTTCCCACTGAGCTTGGGCATCCATCACGCGGTTAACAACCGCGGTAAACAGGTCTAATAAAGAGGTCCGCTCCGAAAGACCACTCTTCAAATGCCTATTTTCGTTCTCCACGCGGTTCGTTGTGAAACAACCGAACAAACAGGTGGACGTCAAACGATGAGCCGCCCATGATGAGACAAATGGCAACCACGTTCGTACTAAGTACCTATGCGCGTCGGCGTTTCGCTCTTTAATGGCTGTCAAATACCTGACGAACAGCCGATGGGTCCTAGCGTACACTAAGTTCCGTACGGACTGCTTAATAACCAACCTGTCCGTTGCACTTTTTGTGGATAACCCGTTGCAACGACGGGTGACATCCTTCAGAAGGTGGAAACGGCACAATACAATCCGCGTGCTGGGGTACACTACTTGGAATGCATGCATCTGGGCCATGCACTTATCAATCACCACCGTCCGTGCTGCCTCAGTCGCTGGTAACATCAGCCGCATGTTGCGCACAGCGTTCATGTACGCTGCCGTTGTCTCATTAGGAAGCAAGGCGTAGAAAATGGAACGCCCGATACCATGCAAATCTACCAGCATGCAGTGCCACAGTATGTAGCCACCGCAGTTCATCTGGTGCGTCGCGTCTGCCAGCAATACCTCCGTATAAAGCTCCACAAGGTGACGTACGTACCTGGGAACAAAAAAGATGTAGCGTACCTCGGACTCCTCATACTCTACATTACATTGACCGGCGGTCTCCAGCAATTGTATAACAGCGTTAACCGAGTTTCCCTCTACCTTTCCCTTCATCTTATCTCTTATGGTCCGGAGGTCATAACGGTTCAACCTTCTACCGTAGTGCTTCAACGCATACCTCCGGAGCTCGCGTGTGTCCTTGAAAGACTGCATCATGCGATAGATGTCCTCTTCCGCATGCCGCGGGAGCCGTCTGTTGCTGACATACAGAAACGGCTTACCTACATGGAAATTGTGGCTGTGCAGAAGGCTGTAGGATACCATGTCGTAGCACCAGCCGTTATGCTGTACGGCTATATGTGCCTTGCAGTCGTAACTTTTGTACCTAAAGTTAATAAGCGTCTCACATACATTACATGTGAACTTACCGCTGGCATGTGTATCCTCTTCGTGTACAATGCACGCATTTATAGTGTACGGATTTGTATCGCACACCCTCAGGCAACTCTTTCCCGGTTTTCCTCTTATAACTAACCGATGTCAAGACATCCGATTTGTAAAAACATGACGCAGTACGCATTTGAAAGCGCTTTAAGTCACTTTCGAACTGCTCAAAAGTGCGGTACACACGCTGAAGGAAGACAGCACGGAAAGCAGCGGTATCGTCGACAGCCATGACAGCGACTGATTCCGCCAACGCACTTTACGGTGCATTCAAACTATCATCATACTCATATCAACCTAGGTCCGCGTTACAACCCATGGCATTTTTCTTCACATTAATACCTCTTCCATCACAATGTAATCTTCCCTTTTCCTTCACCAAGGCAAAGTGGCTTGTTGTCCGCCACCGCAACCTCCCAGTCGCCAGCTGATCACCGACCGTTGTGGAGCACGGTCTCCCCGGGGTGCTTTCTCATCTATGCCTTAGTTTTGTTTATGCACGTCGCAGATTGCATAGGCGTCTCACACGCATATTTTCTGTACTATTGTTCGTTCCGCAGCCTGTAAATTTTTGGGCCTGTTAACATTTTAACTGCAATGTAGATGAAAAGTGGTAACGGCATTTTGTATAGAGCACTAATGCGAAATAAGTTTGCATGTATTTGCCGCTTCGGTTGTTCCTGTACCACCCAACTGGCACCACATTGTGTTTGTTTTGTTAGCCAGCTTCGTGCGTTGCTGCATCCCGGTGTACATTTGCTTTCATTCGATGTTGTTCTTTTTAATTTTAAACGCTAAGTTGAGCGCTACCGGTGTTCTTTATTTTGCAAGGCCAACTAGGACTATGAGAATGCAGCAGCTACTGCCTTGGTGGTTTTGCTGGTCTAGGCTATTCTAGCACCCTAAGCAGAGAATGATAATGTAAAGCTTGTAAGAAAGTAGGTAAATGTTCGGCAGCTGGTTGTTCACCCACCATACGCATAACGCGTGGTAGGGTTGGAGCGAGCTAAAAGATAGTATTACGCATAGACTACTACGATAATGCGTAGTGGTTGTCAACCGCTTTTATGCTTAGCCATCCAGTGCGACCGGGTTCTCTCTATCGCCGGTTAGCTTTCGCGCCAGCGAAAAGGTATTTGGAAATGCGAAAGTATTGCTAGCAAAACCGTTCAAATAAGAGGCGCTAGTTTTAATACCACTTACTAACATGGCCCAAAACGGGTTCCTGTTGCCCATTTCCTGCCAGGCGTGCACGTTAGAGCTTTTCTACAACGTCCAAAGAGCCGTTAACGTAGGCCATGGATTAGTAGTCACCTAACTTGACAGGTAGAAGGAAAGCGACCGTGTTCTACACCAGTAACTACTGACTAAACTCGCCTTCTTTGGTGGCAAAAAAACACCATCCTCCTGGCTTAATTTTTGCTTATCAAATCAAACATGCTCTGTGCCCGGAAGGCACCAGGGCTTCCCGAAAACCGGTCCCTAGTGGATTATTGGCAGAGTCCTCGGCAGCACACCTTTTACTCTATGTTATATACTTCTTCCATATCTTCTGCCGGAATACGCCCCACCCGTCCGCGGCCTACCAAACAATCGCATGTTTGCTTGGCTCTGATGATAACGGCGCCAGCCACTGCAACATACAAAGCAACCTTAGGTACTTGAAAGCCTATGTGTACTAAAAACCAGGATGTGCACGAAGAAGCTGTAACACGCACCCTTAAATATGCACCTGCCACCCAATACTCTCATCTGCAGTGGCGCTTCCCTCAGCGTTAGCCACACTATTCGTGTTGTGTTAGTGCATTACTCCTGCTCCGTAACGTTTTGGAAATAAGTAAGCTTTAGAGCACCTACAGCTACGTGAATAAAGGGCTATAACTTCAAATTCATGTCGCGCTTGGAATCAAAGCTCACACTATAAAAATGCGCGATGCGTTTCCGAACTCAGGGAATTCAGGGATAAAATATTTATTTGGAAATTGAGTGTTTCCCACCCGAAAACAATGCACAACCACGACGCATTTCGATGTAATTTCATCTCATCAGGTGGAGACAGCAGGCCCCGATCAGGCGACTATTGGAATAGTAGCCGAAACCTCTACCCCTTTGGCTACCGGGTCAAGGTGGGAAACGCTTGGCACACCGGTAATGACTAATTGGAGGGTCAAGTTTGGACTACACATTGTGTGATTGGATTGCGACGCGCAATCTCAATGTAATGGACTGTGGTTGTGCAGTGTTTTCGGGTGGGCAACACCCAATTTCCATCTGCTTTGAGTACGGTCCCAATGATCGCCGTGACTAAGGTGCACTTCAAGGTGAACCACAGTCCATTACATTGAGATTGCGCGTCGCAATCCAATCACACAATGTGTAGTCAAAACTTGACCCTCCAATTAGTCATTACCGTTGTGCCAAGCGTTGCCCATCTTGACCCGGTAGCCAAAGGGGTAGAGGTTTCGGCTACTATTCAAATGGTCGCGGGATCGGGGCCTACTGTCTCCACCTGATGAGATGAAATTACATTGAAATGCATCGTGGTTGTGCAATGATTTCAGGTGGGCAACACCCAATTTCTATCTGCTTTGAGTACGGTCCCAATGCACGCCGTGACTAAGGTTCACTTGAAGGTGATCCACAGTCCATTACCTTGAGATTGCGCGTCGCAATACAATCACACAACGTGTAGTCCAAACGTGACCCACGAAACTATTTATTTATTTAAGTGCGACAGCATTGGGCTGTAGGTTGTGCAGCGGTCCTTCAGCAAACGGCTACTAGACGCATATTTGCTGAACTACCGTGATCGGAGCAAACAACTGGTTAAGACGCATTGCGGCTACAAAGGCTACGGAAACCTTTTTCTGATCAAGGCTGGAAAGCATTGGGACATTAACCTGATGCGACACGTTCGAACGGCAGTGGCAACCCAATATCATCAGCACAACATGACCTAGTTATTCATTCCACTGGATACTCACTGCGACAAAAGAGATAATTGCTTCCTTTAAGATACGCCTGCACCTAAAACAATTTGCCTCTGCGAATCCGAGTCTTTGCGACAACTCGAAAATTGCACAATGTTAGTTAACTATTGCACAGGATAGCAACAGTATCGGAACCCCTATGCCTACAATTGCCTACAGATTAGTTATGGGAGAACGACCAAGAGTCTCTAATCACGTAAAAAACGGGTTGTCCCCTCGGGTGCTGCGCCCGAGGACTAATTGTATGGTATACCAATTGCTGCAATGTGAGGAACAAATGGGGAGAGATGGTGAGGCGCTGCGGATGTGCTGACGTTGTTGCCTTGACAGAGACATGGCTTTCTCCGAGCGACATGGTTAGCGACCTGCTGGTAGATTTCGTGAGTTACCGAGTAGATAGGCCTGATCACCACACTGGCGGGGGAGCACTATTGCTAATAAAGCGCCAGTATAATCATTAGGAGGCTCCGTTTATGATGAGTAATAGGAACGTTTAAGTGGTGTCTGGTTACTTAAGGATGATGGGCAGGTTGGAGATCTTTATATGTGTCTACCGCAGTCCATCGTCCACACGAGAGGAGGACAAATAGCTCGGTGCACTATTGAGGCGCGCAGTGGTTGCTGCGCCTAATTTCCTAATAGTTGGTGATCTTAACCTTCCTCATGCGGATTGGCAAGGCACGGCAAACAGAGCGGATACCTTGGAACAGGAACTGGTTGACTGGATGCATGAGAATGCACTTGAACAATACATCAATATACCGACCAGGAGCCGAATCGGGAGTGCCCCCTCCACGTTGGACGTTGCCATCACCAAACACGGTCGTTTCGCAGAGCTACAAGTGGAAGCACCTTTAGGTAGGAGTGATCACTGCGTCCTCACTTTCTGCCTAAATACATTAAAGCCTGCACGACATCCTCGCCTCGTGAGAAATTTCAGCCGCATCGACCACATGTAATTGAGGGATAGAGCCCTCCAGGTCAATTGGATCCCTGACCAGGAACAGGCATCTTTGGAACAAAGGTGGTCTGTGCTTAAAACTGGTTTAGTACAACTATTGAATGAGTTTGCTCCTCTTCGTCCTGCGAGACACTTCAGCAAGCCTCGGTGGTGGAGGTGGAGAATTGATAGAGCTCTAAAGAGACGAAATGAGAAGTGGAAAAAATTCAATGATGCCAGGGGCTTTCGTCGATGGCTACAGTACACAAAAAGCCGGAATAAGGCTATCAAGATGCAACGGCAGGCTAAATACTCTTATGAGCTTCGGCTGGCCCGGTATGCGAAAACAAATCCAAAGTGTTTTACTACAGCTATGTTCAGTCTAAAGCCTCCCTAAGAGAGGACGTTGGGTGTCTAATTATGGAAGATAGCAGCCAGGCTGTGGAAAGCCAGAGATAAAGCTGAAATGCGGCTAAGAGTCTTTCAGAATCTTCATAGGAGCGACAATGGATGTGTTGCACCATCGCAGCCACACTGTGTCAGCAGTTATATAATGCAGGACATCGTGCTGACTGCGCAAGTGGTCTTTACTGTGATGACTAACTTGAATCCCTTCAAATCAGCCGGTCCTGATGATGTACATCCGGCAATAGTCAAGCCACTAGCTGACATCCTTCAACATCCTGTTCTGGAGCTGTCCAACTTGTCGCTCCAGGAATGCAAGTTGCCACGAGACTGGAAGGAAGCAGCCATTATTGCGATTCACAAGGGTGGCTCCAAATCGGAGCCCCTTAACTACAGACCCATCAGTCTAACCTGTGTTCTGCTCAAGTGTTTAGAGAAGCTTATAAGAAACCGGATTTGTGAGCATTTTGCGGAACACAGCCTACTTAGAGCAGAGCAGCATGGTTTCATTAAAAAGAAGTCGTGCCTCACTAATCTACTGTGCTTCCTCGATGAGATTACTCGATGTCTTGACAACGGGATTCCGGTAGAGGTCTGCTATCTTGACTTTTGCAAGGCTTTCGACTCAGTAAATCACCGTTTCCTACTTGAAAAATTAGCATGGTTCGGAGTGCATCCTAGACTTTTGTCTTGGGTGTCAGAATTCTTATATGGGAGAACGTTTCGAGTTAGAATCGGTGATGTGAGTTCTAGTGTGGGCGTGGCCTACAGTGGAGTTCCCCA